AAATCATCCATTGATGGGTATGATGCAAGTTGGGATATACACGAGAATCTAGAGAAGATGAGTCAAGGTCGAGGCGGTTTTTCATTCACGTACTACGAGGGATGAACTTGCTTCGGTCGGTAATGATGACCCGAGCAGCAAAATGGAATCGGGTCCCTGTGACAGCACCAGAGGGTCCAGCAGGATCCCTTGCAGCTCTCTCAAAGGTTGTCTGGGTTAAAATATCTTTCGGGGTATTTCGATGAGCGTAGGGCATTCGCCAGTGAGGTCTGGCGGCACTCCTCTCGTCTCCAAGCCCCAGTATATCCACATTCTCTTGCTCCAAGACCCGAATCTCCCGCCTCGTCGGGGCTTTGCCCAAAAATGGCGCAAGCGCTGCACTCTCGCTATGCAATCCCAATGTACGGCTGAGATGATTGCTCCCATCAAGCTGCGAATTCAGATTCTCTACCGCTCTCTGGAACAAGGTGGGAACTCCTGGCAGTGGACTGCCTCCTACTTCGACCCCAGTTTCAAGATCTAAAGGTTCGCCTGGTGGATGAGGAAAAGCACAGACGCGTACGCAGGCTTCATGGTTCCCCCATTCGATGTTATGAGCAATTCTTGCATGGTTATAGAGGCCCTGGATATTAACAAAGTCGGTTTTTGGGCAATGGGGACATCGTAGAATGAAAAATTGCTGAGATTCCGAGGGATCGCTGGAGCGAAGGTAGAGGAATTTCTTGGCGTTCTGGGACCGCGTCTTCGGCTTCTCTTTTGGTGGCAACCGCGTCATTCTCCGTGGTGGAAGTAGAGCCTGCTGAACTAGCAGCGCTGTCTCGTCGACGAAAATGCAGTCAAGAGGCGCGTCAATGGCTGACAAGGCCTGTAGAGCCGCATCCTTGAAGGCGGTCTCGGTGACAGGTGGTACTGTCGGTAAAGGTAAACCTGCTCCGGTTAATAAGAGAGAAGAATATCATCGGACTGAAAACGCACTTTTTAACAAGGTTTCCTGCAGCAACTCTGCCCAAGCAATTCTAGCTTCTAATGCAGTCTCCAATCTCTTTCTAAGAGCAATTTCGAGGTCTATTTCGTTGACCAAGGCAGTTTCCGCATCCAGGTCGGGACCATTGTCGTCATGGAATTCGCTGAGGTATTCTGAATCTGAGCCATCTGAATCCTGCCCTGGTTGCTCATCAACATGCATAAACTGCTGCTCGTCTAGTTCCGACATCCATCGAGTAGAAGAAAGCGAGAATGAGTCAAATGCCGAGCAAATGCCGAGCCGGCGGTTTCTTCACCGTGACAAATCACCACCACTAGTTGTTTCGTTCAAGTCTTCTTCTTGGGTTGTTTCCTTGGGTGCGACTATCGCGTTATTACCACAAAGACCTACATCTGAATGCTGCAGGATTCGATCCATCCAATTCTTACGAAAGCATCCTTCAGAGCAGGACGCCATGGAAAATTAGCAGAAAAATCTTCCTGATTCTTCTCTCGAACATTGTACTCATCGACAAAGGCTAGTGACCCTGTGGGTATTTACTTATTTCCAGTGCCACATTCCAGTCATTAGGGCTGTCCGATTAATTCGTTCGCTCGCTCGCTCGTCGATAGTATTGAAGAAAAAGTTCATCAATTGATTCGGACTCCGCTGCGCCACCCTTTGTCCCGAATTTTATGATGCAGCCCAGTCATACCTAAAACGAAATGATTCAGCGAGAAGCCCTAACCCTTCTGGAGGCTTACACAGAAAATGGGCGTTGTTGCTGGCAGACGCGGCGGAAAATGGGCTTCGGTGCTTTGGGTGGACTCTGAATCCCCTCGGGGATAACTCACTCGTGGTCCGGGCAATAGCTTTTGATTTTTGTCCCCACACTACCTTTTTGGGAATCGCCAAATATAGTGATTAGGTCATGTGATCAGTGCGCCGAGTCGGGGGGAGACGAGTGGCGGGTACTCTTCCCGCGACTTCAGAAGGCCCGAGCTTCAGAATGACTAGTTTAATTATATCGATAAACTCAAGAAATTCTTTGAAAATAAATATTTGCCATTATTAGATAAGTAAGACTCTAAGTGCGGCGCGCGCCTTCCCGACGCTCACGTGCAATCATTACTATATGGAGCAGTTACGAAACGGTAGTGTGGGGACAAAAATGGGCAAGTGCCCGATTCATGCCGCATTCAGATTCCATTCATTCGACGAACAAAACCTGCAATTCGCAATAGCTCTCTCTTGCAAACTTCTGATTATTTGTTCAAGCAATAATAATAATAATCGGTGTAATCTTCCGAACGCAGTGATGGTGATGATGATGCTGAGAAACCATAGAAACCATCTCTACAACCTGTCCAGACTGGTTTGGATCGCGGCGGCCGAAGTTGGCATACATAAGGTCCGAGTTTCACCCATCGTCTTCACGGCTGGACCGTCCACTATCCCACTATGCGATTTTCTCCTCTCTTCCTCGTGCTGTGCATTTATCATATTCATCAGACTTGGGCGGCTGGCTCATCCAAGTCAGCAACAAAAAGATCATCCAGTTCTCGAAACAGATCACCCAGTCCAGGTGTCGATTTGTATCTGGATGTCGAAAAGGGAAAGATGATGAGGTTTACGCGCTGTCCTGGTCCTGAAGAACTGCGTTATTTTCGGTCAAAGAGATTCGGAAGACTAGCACCAGGTTCAGTCTTCTACAGTTATCCGGGCACTGATGATCACGCACGTAAATTCGCTGTTGCGTTGAAGGGCCACACGATATACAATTGTATAACTCAAGAAGAGATTGAGGCCCTGCAAACGTTGTGCCCGAATCACAAGAATCTTTGGACAGACATGTCGACAGCTTATGCAATGGCAACTCGCGGTGATACCTATGTTGTCATGGGAGGTATTTCTTTTCTCTTCGATATGATCACAAACTGAAGTCACGACAGATAAACGCAATGCCCACGGCGCCTGGGTAAAGAATGAGTTACCCGAGTTGTACAAAAACCGCAGATCGCACAAGATTCGACTTTTTCGGGTGGACCCGGTGACCAAGCAGAAAACCTTGTGGTTTACCCCTGACACCAAGGGTGATCGCCCACCACCGATTCCTAAATCTGTTTCCAGTCATAGTTCCAGCTCCAGTTCCAGTCGGAGTCGGACTACTTCCGGTCGGGGTCAAAGTTCACCGACACCCACAGCTACGTGTGGCAAGCCATGCCAGGTCTGGCTTGGCCCGTTTGTATGGGCACAGGATGCCACTTGGGAGGCACAGACCATGATCTCCAGTATCCATCAAATCGCCTGGGACTATGTAAAGCCGGGTACTGGCTTTCATGCTGAATGCTGCTCTGATCCCTCATTTGCTGTCCTTCATTTCCACAATGCTGAATCTGCGAATTGGTTCGTAGGAAGTTGGCCGTCGAGATACGGTCGCGGTACCCAATACCTTGATGTCGAAGCCCACGCCGTCACCTGATTATTATGCTATGAATAACTTTATGTAGACGGACTGTACCCGGCCTGTACCATAGACTCGTATATGCATCACTCGTTGAGGGTCATTTCCTTCTACAATAACAAAGTTTGCAAAAGTAAGATATACACGGGCTGAGACCATTCAATCGTCTCTCTTTCCTTCAACCTAGTCTTCATCGCCACTTTCATCGCCACTGACTTCTTCATTCTCCTTGCCTGCCCTTGCCATGAGCGCCGCAAGGTCATGTTCATCAGTTTCGGAAATTGCTTTGGGCTGTAAAGAATCAGTAAATGACCGAGAAAGGGAAAGAGCCAAAATAAGAGGATGCAAGGACAACGAAAACGAAAGAAATGAATGTGCGTATATCACGAACCTTCATCTTGACAATCAAAGCCCCGCCCATACCCTCAATCTCGTGCTGAATCGTCTCGATAGCTCGCTCTAGTTTTTCGACAGCCGCATACTGCAAAGGGATCAGAAAAGAGACTACAGAGAAACAGCGGATTCACCTTGTCAGTAGCATTCGTCGTCAAAACATACAAGGGCGGTGCGACCAACTTTGCTTTTATTGGGACATCTTCGCCTCCTTGTGCTTCGCCCGCCTTCAGAGCCTTCCGTATCGCATCGATGCCTCTCTCGGTATAGCAAGTCAGCTCGATATCCGCTCGCAATTTCACTGGCTGTGGTGTTAACCTCCTGGCAATGGTAACAGTGAGGGATGGCAGCATGTCAGCGACATCTTTTGGCAAGTCCAAATCGGGGGTGAAAACCTGGTCCGGTGAGGTCAAAGCGACCTTGAAGGCATCATAGGCATGTCCATATCGTACAGCCAAGGGCCAAGCGACCTTTTCGTACAAGCGTTCTAGAGCTTCACCTTCACCTCCGGCGACGTGTCGTAGAATTGAGGCGACGGATTTTGATTTCATGTATCGCTCTTCGCAGCGACCGATATCTTCCGGGGACACTCGTCGCTTTGAAAGGTCGATGTAGCCTTTTTCCTTGTCCACACGGAGAACCACGACGACTTCATTCCGGCCCACTCTGATGAGTTTTTGGACAGACCGGATGCGACGACGGGAAAGCTCGGAGAGGAGGATCATGCCTGAAAGCAGCAGCAGAGGAGGATACCGAGAGATCAAGGATGGAGAAACAAGATGAAGGAAAGCAATGAAGGACAGAGCAGGCGTCAGAAAATCAATTCCATCTTCAAGATCCAAATTACGCACCTTCTGTCCCGTCATATTCCAAGAGCTTGACATATGCACCCATCTCTGCGATTTGGCGCACTTGCACCATCACCAGCTCATCGACCTCGGGGTATTTTTGGGCGTAGTACCGCATTCTCGATGGTCGTAGATGACTCTTTAGTGGTGTCACGTGGAAATCGATAGGAAAAAATTGAACGGAGATTAGATAAAGGCCATATTTTGCTTCGAGGACCTCGAAGCAGAGGGATGGGAAGACGGTCTACAGGCTAGAAACCCTGCAGTGCCCAGGGTATTTGGATAGTTATCGGATATCCGGCTGGTAGCTAGTTGCTTTCTTCTCCAAAAATGGACATTGAGAGGATTGAACTCTCGACCTCACGCAATGCCATGAGATGCGAAGCGTGCGCGCTACCACTGTGCCAAATGCCCAATAATCGAATTGCTTGCGCATGAGATCTCGTTCCCTTTCGGTTGCTTTGAGAGGCACGTCGTAGCTTCATTTACGATAAACCGGGTAAAACCGTTGTAAAATCTGCGATAAGAGTCTGCTATACATAACAATAACAATACAAAGACTAGGCAAATCTAAGAGTTTTCTGTCTCTTTGGCACTGCCACTTCTACTGCCAAAGCCGCTTCGTCCTCGATTTCAATCCGCTGTCTCTTCTGACCCACTGTTGACACCTCTGGAGGTAAATCGACCAATGGTATATCCAGCGGTATCGGTTGTGTCGACTCTGGTGGAACTTGCAAGAATTTTGGGTTCTTCGCGAAGGTCAGCAAATAGGAAACATGGCTCAGAGTCAATCATCACCTCGATAAAGTGCCGCATTCCGACTTCTTCGATCAGGCGCGGAAGTTTGCCAGCGCTATCTTTGAGCGCATTCCGTCGAATCACCATCGTTTCTTCCGCTGTGTCGCGGATACAAAGGGTTTTCACTACCATTTTATTCAGCTACCAATTCTGCAAGAGTAAAAAGCTTCTCGTACCAACAATTCGCTTCGTTTGACCAATTCGATGCGCTCGCTTGATAGCCTGAGATTCGACATCAGCTTGCCAGACTGGCTCACAAAAAATGATGCGAGATGCAGAGATGAGATTCCTATCAGGTAGTCAATGAGTTCAAGGCCATCGACAGGACAGAGAATAACATACAATCCACGAGCTCCATGCTTCAGTTCACACAAGAAAACGCGATAGGTTTCCGAGGTTTCAAATGTCATAACGAACTGTTCGCGCAGTTTTGCTTCCACCTGCGTCGTGAACCGCAGAAACTTGACGCCGACTAGTTCGAGCGCCTCGGAAACATGTGCCAGTGTGAGCGCAGAATCTGAGAAGATGATAAACTTCTCCGACGACGAATGCAGTAGGACCTTTTCCCAATGTCAGTACATGATTGTCATATTGTCATTCACGAACCTCATTGATGATATAATTCAGCTTACTCGAAGCAGAAGACCCAACCCGAACTCCTGCCAACACCGACTGGGCCAACAAGGGCGAGAATTCAGAGTTACCGATGGCTTGAGGCAAAGTTTCGCCCTCCTCCATTCTTTCCAAACGAGCCAATGATTCTTTCAAATCATTTTGTATCTCCTTCACAGCAGCTGGAGCGCCAGCAAGTTTAGCAGCAGAGCGAGCTTTGTGATTCTCGCTACGCATTTCTTTGATACTTGGAGGTCCAGCGCGTTTGCTAGGAGAAACTGGCGGTGATGTTTCTGCTTGGCTTGATTTTCGAGGATCAGTTTTGTATCCCTTGGTCTTCTTTTGGGACTCCAGATACAGCCGTCGTATCTGGATGTCTCTCTCTGAGACCTGGACTGCCAGGTCAGTGAAATACTGAACATTTCGGAGGGGGTACTTGACGACGGCGTGACGGAGTTTCAGCAGTCTGTCGACGTGAATGAAGCCACCGACACCGACTGGCTCGGTAGTCAGATGCGGAATTCGGGACCATGCGTCAAAGAGGTGTCGGTTGAGGTTATACAATCGAAACGGGACATCTTCATGCTCCTGGATCGCTTTCCAGGTCCTGTCGTGATGAGCAAGTTTCCTTAGAGTAATGTTAGACAGATTAAATCGAGAAGAGAAGTACAAACAGGTGATGGAAGGAGTCACGCAACAGCTGAAGATCTGCTTGCGACACTCCTCGCGAGATCGCAGTGTCAATCTTCTCCTGGGTAGTCCGTACGAGCTCTTCGACATTATAATATCCATCGTCGACGTGCCAAAACATGAGTCTGGCTCCGAAATCAGTGCCATTCCTGTGCAAGAAAGGAAAATATCCACTGTGACATATTCTTAATCGTCGTCATTAGATATTCGACATTCTGGGATTCATTGAGCTTGAGCATGAAAAGAATGTAAGGGAACTCACCCTAGCGTGGAACATGTAATCCTGGAAGCTCATGAGCGACATTAACAGGACTTGAATCCAAAACAAACCTGGTCTTTCCTTTCGGAATCAATCGCGTTGATGGCAATTATACTTTGAAGGGCGTTGTACGACTTGATAACACAAGGATCGAGGTCCAGTAAAACAGATTCTTGCTTGACCAGTGGGAGCACGATATCCTTCTCTACGTCTTCGATGCTAAAAGGACATCAGAAAAACTCGGGCTTCAAAGAAATATCGCACCGATGTCGTATCATAACCATCTCCATAACCTGCGTCAAAACTTTGATAGCGCCGGGTCGTGGTCCCTGACGATCAAACAGAGCTTCATGAATAGCTCTCACACGACTGGAATCAGCGTGGAAACTCGGCATCCCGACGAAATGGGTGATCATGTTCATCAGTTTGCGAATGTCCTCGCTGTCGGCGCGAGTCCATATACGAGGGCTCGCTGATTGGGGAGCAGGACTCTCGCTCTCTGTTTCGTCAGGACCGGGCGTCGAGTCGTCAGTTTCCATGATCCGTGTCTCCTCTGCTACGTCCATCTCGTCGTCTAATTCGGCATCTTCGTTGGTTTTCTTGCCCAGATTCAGGCCCAGCAAGTTTGTAGTCGGAGTCCCAGTGCAGATCCAGCGTCGCTCAACGCTGAGCAATCTCGAAAAGGATATGAGAATGGACGAGAGACTTGCTGAGACATGGCCTTCGTCAATGACGAGACGCTTCCAACGAACTTGAAGTAGCGGGGAGACAGGTGGTGGTACGCAGGTACAATTGGGGACCCGAACAGCTTCAAATTCGCGACATAGGCAAGGAGTCCAGGATGACATTTTGTCGACAGCATTGGAGTTGTTCTCGGCTGCAAATCCTATAACACATGTCAGCAAAAACAGTCACAAGACAGCCATTAAACTGACTTGTATAGGTCATCAGAACAATCTAGAGTAGAAAATGAGCCGGAATGAGGCTGAAGATATCCAGCACTCACGTCGTAGTCAACAGCCAAGACTTTGGCCGCAGGCATAGCTTGCTGAGACCTGACAACCAGCACCCGTAAAGGAGCTTCGCAGTGCTTCTTAATTTCTCGATCCCATTGCCCTAAAAGATTCTGCGGTACCAGAATGAGCGTAGCAGATGTTAAATACATCACTCGAGGACCTGGTTTGGTATCCTTGCGCCGTACACGCTGAGAATCGACTGGTTCGTCGCCACCATAATGCAGATAAAACGGCACATTAGTTCTTGCTATTTCAGGAAACTGCGTCAGTTCGAATTTGGCTTGAAAAGAATCTTCATTGTTGCTGTCTGGGATGTCCGAGACTGGAAAAGTGACGAGTCGATGGATCAAGATCTCCCGAAGAGAGGGGACTCGAATATGGGATTTTGGAATTTTCGACTTTTTTCCGCGGAGGAAACGATCTCTGGTGTCAGAAAATTGGCCAGAGGGCCAGTGGCGAAAGCTACACGGTGTCATGACAGGTCGCGTATCGATTATCGAAGGTTCTGGAGTGGATAATGTTTTGAGCGTTGAGAGGATCAACCCTAGAATCATGACTGTTTTCCCAGTCCCTGTGTTTCCATTCAGACAAAAGCAGCATAGAATGAACTCTAAGACGCACCGAGTTCCTCACATAAGATGCCTCCGCGGCATTTTAGTGTCACCGGAAGCTCTCTGAGCACTTCAAGGGTTCCAGGCTGGATGAAAAAGGTCGTGTTTTTGATTCCGGGGAGATTGATTCCAGACAAGGGAATATACAGAGGGTCTGGAACATCCTGGAGGCTGGTTTCTCTGTCGACCATGGCCGCGACGGTTTCTCGTTGATACCTAAACAAGGTAGAACGAAACCCGAGACCTTCTAGAGGATCGGAGTAGTCGAGTAAACGATTAAATATCGAGTGGTCATCTGTTGGCTGGGGTCTAGGTGATGATATATCTTGGTAAATGCCTGACAATGTACGAGGGTCCTGCAGAGAAGTGAGAATGAGATGAGACATTCAACGACAATGTCACGCACTGGAATTGACAATGAAGCATCTGGAACTAGGTTGGTGTCTTCACCGCTCCAAAATCGCGGTTCAGTGGTAGTTTTAGATAACAGCAAGCGGAAATATTGTCGGGCGGGACGTAGAACACTATCTGGTCGAACTCTAAGAGCTCCTTGGACATTTGGCAGATCTATAGAAATATATGTTAGAGCTAAATGAAGGGATATAGACCTAATTACCGTATGGTACCAGGTATATCCTGGCCCGAACAGAATTGGCAGGGCCGAGACAATATGTAGCCCGAACGAAGCGCTGCTGGGTCAGGAACTCGATGCCCCGACACAGGTCATCCGACTCGTGCTCTTGAAGATGGGGGATGAGGTCCAGAGCACTGAATTCGAGCCAGTCGTCCTCTGCATGAGCATGGTCACTGAGGTTCAGTGACCGGGACAACGACACTTGTAGAGATCCATATGGGAGTAAATTGAACAGAGAGTAAGGGCTGGATGAGCTTTGGCCCGTCGAACATTGGCCGCAGATGCTACATTCACTGAGCATTTTGGGAGTCACGGAGGACGGAGCTGGTCGGAGGCGCAGCTAGGAGTCAGATGACGTTAGGCCTTTGCTTCTTACTGATACTCCGGTCTTGCCTCTTTTGCAGATTTTGGAATTGTATTTGCAGTCAAGGTGAGATTTCAGTCCAAGAGAATCTTGCCCGGTGATGATTTAGAGTGGAATCTGTATCGACTCATTCCTTTACCGTGTTTCGGGTCGAGATGCAGACTTTATGTTCTGATACTGCTGAGGGCCGCGTTTTCGTTATTCAGAGAATTTCAGGTTCGAAGTCTGACCTATTTTTCAGAAACGTAGGCGGAGCTGGAGAGGAACTTTGTGTCCTGGATCCTGATCTCATTCTTGGTCACTGCTCGAGCCTGTTTCACGGTCAGCCCGCAGCTGTATTGCACAAAGGCCAAATGCATGGTTCAGTAGATTGAACAAAAGACAATGCCCTGGGACTAATAGAAGTTGGCGCAAAGCGAGACTCAAACGG